GAAATTTTTACACGGTAATATGGACCCAGAAACACACGTGTTAACAAAGTCCTAACCTCAGGACATCAATTTAACCAACTGAACACATTTAGGCAAAACATCGACATAAACCCGAACTTCCAAGTTCTCTGGGCAATCCTTGTAGTTTTTCAATGCATTTTTTTACACAACATACATTATACCAGAATAATGACACTCACCAAAAATCACGTCAAAATACAAAGTACTCGATTTTTATTGATTTTTTGAAGTTTCTGCCCAGAATAAAAAATCGGTATTTGACATAGCTTTACAAATCATTTTGACCTGAAACTTTTACACCACAACATATACCAATAGAGGGTCATAAAGGTCAAATTTCGTGCCAATCGGACAAACACACAAATTATGATAATTTTAGTAAAATTCAGCAACAAGACCCGAATAAAAATTGCATAAATGACACCATATCCATCAATTCCATCCTAGGACTTTATCATAAGACTAAGGACTCATAAATGTTCTGTAATCCACAGCCCTAACACGATTTTAATGAGGGTTCATCAAGGACACACTAATATCCCTTCAAACATGCATAATAATGTGGTTCAGAGGCTTATTTCCTCGAAAAAAAATAGAGCTCTAGATGACCGATCACCCTTACTTATTTTAAGAACCTGTTTTAACCCCATATTACTCATTATTTATAAAGATTTTTAAGCTCAATAACTCGGCCTAAGCATGCATGCAACGAAAAATACGATTTTAAGGCTTTAAGCTTCAAAAATCCGAATCTCTCATTCTACCCGAGCAAAACTTGATTTCTCTACATAATAAATCTTAAAATATCATGCTATAGCTAGGATAAAAAGATAGCACGAGCTAACCTTCACCGAAGGATGAAAATTGGCGCTTGGGTCCTTGCTCGTGCCTTTCTCGAGATTCTCGGGTCTTAGGCTTGCTCGGGGCTAAAGGATGAGCTTTAATGGACTTAATGGACTCCTTACACTCCTAGAAATTCCTTCAATACCACTTGGTTGGGTGTACTCGAGTGGATTGGACTGAAGCTCGGTGTCCCTCCTCGGCTCGCATGCGCGCGTGTGGTGCAAGATAGGTGGCCCTTGGCACTTCTCCTCACTTCTCTCTATTTTGCTGAGCTTTAGGTTGTCTAAGAGCTTAATAGGAGCTGAGGAATGAGGTTTATATATCTAGGGGGCGGAGGTTGCAAGGAGGGCTCAAAGGGGACAAATTTCAAAGTCTTAGGTGCATTGAAACTTGGTGGAGGGCTCAAAGGGGACAAATTTCAAAGTCTTAGGTGCATTGAAACTTGGTGTGGGTGGTCTTGGACTGACTTAGCACGAATCTAGCATGTTTTTGAGAGCCTTTTGGCAGGGAACAAGGTCTGGTATAGAAGCACTAAGGACAAGGGGGCAAGACTTACACATGTGCATTAAAATAATGCATGCACATGCACCCACTTTAGCTAAGGACAAATTAACTTTTCTTAAACATTTCATAGGGTCATCCTAGCTTAAAATGATCCTCACTAAGTCCTTAATAAACGCTTTTTTATGTCATGACAGAAGTGGGCCGAAACTATCAAGAAATGGCTCAAGAAGGTGGACTGTCACACTGCCAGCGCTGCTGGGCGCGCGTGATGAAGATCGTGTATCTGCCTTAACTCGATTTGCCTTGAAAGTTGCGTTGCCACGGCTCCCTTCTTGGCGATTGCTTCGAAACCCGCGCCGACGCCTTGATCTCTAAGCGATAAGTTTCTAATACGCGCGTCGACGCCTTCGTACTTCGCGATAGGTGTGAAGAAACTCGGATGTTGGTCCTATTTTTAACACGATTTTGTATGTAAACTCACACACAAGAGTTGGTGAACAAACGTTCGATTTTCTATTAATTTCTTGGATATTTGAAATATTTATAGGAAAAGCTAGATCTAGTCCTATGAGAACTATAATTCTAACTAGGAAATAATAGTTCTAAGTAACTAAATATCTTGCATACCAAGACTTAGCAAAATAAATAAAATACCTACGGCTAAATATACTCACGGCTAATTTACGAAATTAATAAACTAAAACTAACAATCCTAACCAACTAATAACTATGCTAAATAAACTCATTCACGGCACTTAATAATAAAAATATCCTAACAATAATGTAACACCCCACTTTGATTTTACCGAAATTCTGGATTTTTCAAAAATCAGT